GGAGGAGGAAATGACAACCCACTCCAGTATTCTGCCTGGAAAATCCCATGGACAGAGGAGCCTGGTGGGCTACAGTTCATGGGGTCGCAAAAGAGCCAGACACTACTGAGCACATGACAGATGGAACATCATACTTAATGGTGAAAGACTGAAGCTCTTAAGATCAGGAACGACACAAGAATGTCTGTTCTCACCATCTCTATTCATCATTGTACAGGAGGTTTTAGACAGAGCAACTAAAAGAGAAAAAGAAATAAGAGGCTTCCAGAGTAGAAAGGAAGAAGTAAAATTATCTATTTGCAGATGACATAATCTTGTATGTAGGAAATTCAAAGAAATCTACCAAAAAAAAAGACCAAAACATCCCAAAAGTATTATAACTAATAGTTATTACAGAAAATATTATAGCAGAGTAATAAAATACAAGATTAATATACAAAAATCACATGACCAGCTGAATTTCTACACATTAGCAATGAAAAATCTGAAAATGAAATTAAGAAAACAATTTTTTGTGGGTNCAAAAAAAAAGACCAAAACATCCCAAAAGTATTATAACTAATAGTTATTACAGAAAATATTATAGCAGAGTAATAAAATACAAGATTAATATACAAAAATCACATGACCAGCTGAATTTCTACACATTAGCAATGAAAAATCTGAAAATGAAATTAAGAAAACAATTTTTTGTGGGTTTTTTTTTGGGGGGGTGTGGTCTGTGCAAGATCTTAGTTCCCGTGCTTACTGCAGTAGAAGTGCGGAGTCTTAACCACTGGACCTCCACAGAAGTACCCGTCATTTCATTTATAGTGGTACCAAAAAAAAAAGTAGAAATAAATTTTAACAAAAGAAATAAAATTTGTACAATGAATACTACAAAACATGTTTGAAAGAAATGAAAGAAGACCTAAATAAAAGAAATGATTTCTTATGTTTATGAAATTGAGGAAATATTATTTATATGGCAATATTCCTGAAATTGATCTTCAGACTCAACGTAATGTCAAACAAAATTCTAGATGTCTTTTTTGAAGAAATTGACAAGCTGATGCTAAACTTGATATGGAAATGCAAGGAACCCAGAACAGCCATAACAATACCAGAAAAGAACAAAGTTGGAGTTGGAAATAAAATCATATTCCTTTATTTCAAAACTTACTACAAAGCTACAATAATCAAAATAGTGTGGCACAGGCATAAGACTAGATGCATAGATCAATGGAACAGAATTAAGAGTACAGAAATAAGCCCGTATATCTAAGGTTGATTGATTTCTGTAAGCATGTCAATATAATTCAATGAGGAAAGAATATTCTTTTCAGCAAATAGTAGTGGGACAACTGGGTATAAAAGAATAAGTTTGGATCTCTACATCCCACCATATATAAAAATAAATTCAAAATGGACCCAAGATAAATGCAATAGCTAAAACTACAAAACTCTTAATAAGAAAACATAGGTGTAAATCTTTGTGACTTTAGACTAGGCAATGAGTTCTTACTTGTGACACAAAGTACAAGCAACCAAAGGAAAAACAGATAAAATAGACTTCTTCAAAATTTAATCAAGAAAGGAAAAAAACAACCTATATAGAATGGGAGAAGATACCTGCAAATCACCTATCTGGATAAAGGTCTTATATCCAAAATATATAACAAACTCTTTAAAAACTCAAAAAAAATTTTTTTTAATGGGCAAAGAATTTGGATAGATATTTCTCTAAAGAAGACATATAAATGGCCCAACAAAGACATGAGAAGATGCTCAACATCATCAGTCTTCAGGAAACTGTAAATTAAAACCACAGTCAGATAGTAATATTGCTTCACATCCAGCAGAATGGTTATAATAAAAAAAGATAAAACAATAACAGGATTACCAAGGATGTTAACAGCAATCCTCCTATTAATACACTGCTGGTGGGAATGTAAAATGGTGCCGCTGCTAAGAAAAACAGTTTAGTGGTTCCTCAAAAAGCTAAATATTGACTAACCACATGACCCAGTAATTCCACTCCTAAGTATACTTTCTGAAAGAAAGAAATGGAAAGCAGGACTCTGATACCCTGTACACTAGAGTTCATTGTAGCATTATTCACAATAGCCAAAAGGTGAAAACAACCAAGAAACCATTAACAGATGAACAGATAAACAAAATGTGGTTAAATACCTACAAATTAATGTGATTCAGTATAAAAAGAATGAAGTTCTAATACATCCTCTAACATGGCTGAACTTGGAGGACATGGTAAGTGACATAAGCCAGACACACAAAAAAACAAGTACTACATGATTCCATTTTACGAGGTACCCAAAATAGGCAAAATGACAGAGATAAGAAGTGGATCAGAGGTTAGCAAGGGAGTCGCTGCTGAATGCTTACAGAGCTCCTGTTTGGGTGATGAAAAAGTTTGGAAACAGACAGTGGTGATGGTTGTGCCACAATGTGAATGTAATGAACGCCACTGAAGCATACACTTAAAATGGCAAATTTTATGTTACATTTATTTTATCTCAATTTTAAAAATTAATTATATACCAAAAGTCATAGGATTGTGCCCTCTAAATGGGTGAACTCTATGGTGAATGAATTATGTCTCAATAAAGCTGTTTTTTAAAGAAAAAAAAAAAGAAATCATCTCTCAAGCTATAAAAGATATAGAAGAATCTTAAAAGCATATTGCTAAGAGAAAAAACAATTCTGAAAAAGCTACATACAGAATGATTCCAACTATATGACAGTCTGGAAAAAACAAAACTATAGAAACAATAAAAAGATCAGTGACTGCCAAGGGCTCAAGGCAGGCGAGAAAGGATGGATAGGTGGAACACAGGGCACTTTCAAGGCAGTTAAACTATTCTGCACAATACTGGAATGGTAGATACATGACATTATGCATTTTTCAAAATCCACAGAACTGCAGAACACAAAGCGTGAATACTTTGTGTAAACTAAGGACTATTAGTTAATATTAATGTATCAACACTGGTTTAATTGTAACAAATGTACAACACTAATGCAAGATGTTAACAGGAGAAACCATGTGTGGGTGGGGAAGGATGTGTGGGAACTCTACTTTTTGCACCATTTTTCTGTAACCCTAAAACTGCTCTAAAAAAGACTCTATTTTTAAAAGGTATACTTAACAGAGACTGCACTGAATTTTATCCTCTTCTCATGATTCATAAGGCTATTCACTTTAACAAATTACAATTTGACTTTAGATGGGAGGAAGTGCTGATTCTTTACCACTGTAGAACAATATCAGGCACTACTGAATCATCCCAGTGCAATATCCTATGCAGCCTTTCCCTACTTCTCTTCCACCCCCGACAATATTACTTCATGACCTAAATTTCTGTATTCATAAAACTACTCCCATCATAGTTTCTGAAGAGTCTATAGTCTTTGGAAACAGTTTATCACACTTATGACTAAATTCCAGTCTAATTATAATTACGAATTACAGTGACATTATTATATCAAGTTGTCATGCCTCCTAGTTTATTCACTTTGTTCTTTTTTTTTTCACATGGTCATGTTAGTTTTGTTTGGTTTAATTATAAACTGTGTTTTAAGATATACAAATTTATATAAAACAAAATAAAAATCATCTCTAGGGACTTCCCTTGGCACTCCAGTGGTTAAGACTCTGAGCTTCCATTGCAGAAGGTGCAGGTTTGATCCCTAGTATGGGAACTAAGATCTTGCAGGCCGTGCAGGACAGCCAAAACAAACAAAAAACACAACAGCAAAATTTTTTTTTTAAATCATCTCTAGTCCTACCAGGACCACTTGTTAAAACTCTTATATAATAAATTTCATATACATAAATATAATTTTTTAAACAAAATTGGGACAATTGCATATTCTTTCTTCCATTTATTATCTCTCGCAACAAAGGTTGATGACACCTCTTCTGCTGAGAACCAGCAATGGGCAAGGCAGACAAAGTCCCTGCCCTCATGGAGCTGACATCCTTTGGGGAGAAAAAGGCAAACATATTTACACTCCTCACAACCATCCTATGAGACAGACATTGTTATTATCCCAATGTACAGAGAGCTAAACTGAGGCCTCAGGTAATCTAATAAATTACCTTAGTATATACAGTTAGGCCGCAGCAGAGTCAGGATTCAACCCCAGGTTGAAAGAAAACCCTATTTGATAACAGACTCTGAGCTTTTAACTCATCAAAGAGATCTTAATATGATATCCTGTATCTTTATAAAATGGTACCAAGGGTAATAGTTTGGATCAGCTCCCTAAAATAACACATTTACTCCAAGGACATAGTTCTTTGACTTCAATCATGAAGCACGCTCATGGAAAATTATTCATTGCTATTTTGTCATATGTAAATTAAGCAGGAACTCAAGTTCCACTTTTTAACTTTGTGATATACTTGTCTGGGGTTTTTTTTTCACTTTATTTTTTAAATCAATTTATTTAGACTAAAACAAAAATAATTCACACATTTTCTTCCCTCCCTCCACCTCTGACAACTGCTAATCTGTTCTCTGTACCTATAAACTTTTCTTTTTTTTAACTCCACATGTAAGAGAAATCATACAATATTTGTCTTTCTCTGTCTGACTTATTTCACTTTGCATAATGCCCTCGAGGTCCGAAAGAATGAAATCTTGCCTTGTGCAACAACCTGAATGGACCTTGAGGGCATTATGCTAAGTGAAATAAGTCAGGCTGAGAAAGATGAATACTACAAGGTCTCTTTTATGTTCATTGTCTACAAGGTGTCATTTTATCAGGCACCTAACTGCGTTAGTTTTACACATCATTTTGAAATATATATATACATTGTTTTCAAAGGCACTCAAGAGTCAACACAAAGGATTAAACTGGAAACCCAAACTGTCCCAGAGGAAAGGAAGATAGTACATTTAAGAACTACTTTTCCCCAGCTTCTGCTTTAAAGTGACCTCCTCCCACACTCTTACTCTTGACTAGCACACTGTATAAACTTCTTCATCTGGTACCTTGATCTTTCCCAGCTTCGTCTATGTGTTGAAAATCTTTCAGAGTTTGAAGGTTACGGTACCCCTCTCTGCAATGCTGAATAACTTTCTTTGATCCATTCTTGATGAGATAATCCATTAAGGTAAGAGATTTATACACATGGCGCCAGTTCTTCCCGTGGTCATTGAGTCTCTGCCATAGCATGTTCATAATTTCAGAGAGAGAAACTGTGTTGAAAGTCAGGTCACTGATATCTAACATTAGAGAACTAGAAGGACCCCAAGGGTCATTAGAAGTTGCTTCCCTGACTTTTATTTCAGCATCTGAGTAATTTTTCACAAAGTTCTTCACTTGCCTCCTGAATGCCATAGGTGAGACAAATTTGAAGGTAAGATGGGGTATGAAAGCAACAGAATAGGTGTTTATGTCATTGGTTTATAGAATCCTTGAGAGGTAGTTGGTCCCCAAGTCTGCTGCTCCCAAATACAAATGACTAATCGCCATCTTGACAAGGTATCAATTTTCTGCAAAGGAATACACAAAAAAATAAGTAAGTTAAATATTTTTAAAATGTCTCCAGAAGAGTAATTCAGTCTGAAAAATCTAGCTGTAGTTTCCAAATCAGTGCCTCATGTACATCAGCCAGAATTGAGGGGGCCATATAAATGTTCCTAGGATCAATACGGGAAAATATCTCATGAGGGATTAGCCTATGTTATTTAAAGAAACATAAGTGGTCTTTCCAGACCTAAAAGTTTCCATTGAAAGTATCACTGGGACTTCCCTGGTGGTCCAGTGGTTAAGAATCTGCCTGCCAATGCCAGGGGACATAGGTTTGATCTTTGGTCCAGGAAGATTCCACATTCTGCAAGGCAAGTAAGCCCATGTATCACAACTACTGAAGACTGCATGCTCTAGAGCCCGTGCTCCACAACAAGAGAAGCCACTGCAATGAGAAGCCCAGGCACCACAACTAGAGAATAGCCCCCACTCACCAAAACCAGAGAAAGCCCATGTGCAGCAACAGAGATCTAGCACAGTCAAAATTTTTTTAAAAAAGTATCCTTGAACCTCTTTGGCCAGAAATAAAATTATTATAAAGCATTACAAGGACAGTGGACAAATTAATGGTGGACAAGAAAATGGAACTTGCACTGCGACATGTCAAGATTTGTTGTCATGTATAAATACGTTATGTCCTGAGAGTAATCAAGTGAAAACTGAGTCTTACAACCATCAACTGACCTCTGGTTGTATCCTTTTCAGAACTTACAAGTCATTAGAATCAAATCTAAATATGATCTGTTTTCTAGTTAATAAGGAGGATCATCAACTATTCAGAAATTGTCATCAGTGGACTCCACACGTAACCCACGGCACCCTAAACCAATATTTTAGTCCTGGTAAGTCTGGCAAGTCAAAGGAAAAGGCTAAACTACTTTCTTTACTCAACTTTAGAAAACTATTCCCTGATGAGCATCCAGACCCAATGAAAGCTCAACAATCTATAATCAGATTTTACTAGAGAAAGTACACACATACTAAAGAAAATTGCTAAAAATCCATAATAAATGTGCTTGCTATTTTCAGTTTTGTTTCTCTTCCTTGACCTTCTCAATTTTAACCTCAGGCTTGATTAATTTCTCTGTATGTATTTAAGGAAGACATAATTTTCAGAAGCAGCCTAAATAAACTATCACTTCTTTTTTAAAAAATAAGAGAAGGGAATAAGTAGTCATTTTTGTTTTTGGTAAAAGTGCAACACATTCTCAAACAAACAAGATAGAAAATGTATCTGTTTAATTAAGATTTCTCCTAAAGAGACCATCATCAACCCCAGACAGAAAAAGAGAAATTGTGTGTTTTTACAATTTTCTGATTTTCTCTCCTGTTTGCACTTTGAATACAGACATTTTTATCTGACTCACTCCTACAGTGAAAACTTGACTTATAATGTGTTTCAATAAGCCATTAAAATTTTCAATCATGAGGGTTTTCTTTTTCTATTGTCCTTTTTTGCCCTCTACTAAGTTCATTCAATGCAGCAATGTACTGTGACATTGGCTTGGAGCAACAAATATTGATCTGTTTCTTCACAAGTCTATTAAAAAAAAAAAAGCCTTGTTAGAATCATAACTTGCTAGACTTGAACACAGTTGTTAAAACTTTTTTCTTTTTCAAATAGCTACCTATGTATATTTTGGAGGGACAAAATCGTAATATCCAGGTTTTCCTCTATTCTTAACCTGCATTTTTAAATTTAAAAAATGTTTTCTTAAATGAAGTTTCTGTCACAGAAAATTATCTACATACTAGCCTTCCATCCAATAGTGTAGTTCACAATGGGATGTGCTGGATGTAGTTCACAATGGGATGTGGTGGCGCGCGGAAAACTTTTGAAAAGTAATGCCATGCCTACACTGTATATTACATGATATCCACAGAAAGGTCTGGGGTAAGTAAAGAGGTCTGAACAATTAAACACATCAACATGACTGCAATAAAAATTTGCAAGTATTTGTAATAAGTAAAGACAAATGGCTGTTTCAGTTCAAATATTGTAGACAGATAAGTTGGTGGGGGTGGGGGGGAGTGGTTTTCAAAACTTCTTGGATGTCAGAACTGAGAATGAGAGATTGAGGAGCTACACTGACTTTATCCAAAGATTTAGGACAATAACGACAACAGCATCTAAGAGGCTGAGTACCAAGAGGCATCTTTGGAAAGACACATTTAGGGTAATGCTATGAAGACAGAACAGCTCTTATGTTTATATGGATTCTGCCTGTAGACATGAGATCAACTCAGGAGAAAATAAACTCTGGCCAAGATTGTTTTGGAAGAAGGATTATAGAGATCACCAGGGCATTAGCAGGTGTTACTGTTTTGATGGAAAACACACTGCAAGAGGCAGAGAAACTAACTTGAGTCCTGCCTGTGTGTTCACTAAATCACTCAACTATTATTTCCCAGAGCTTACCATGTAACAGGCTCCATTTCTAAGAAACAGAGAAACAGGAACACTAGACAGTTTCCACCCTCTGGTGTAAATGGCATGCTGTTGTTGTTTAGTCACTAAGTCATGTCCCACTCTTTGTGACCCCCAAGGACTGTAGCCCACCAGGCTTCTTCTGTCCATGGGATTTCCCAGACAATAATGCTGGAGTGGGTTGCCATTTCCTTCTCCAGGGGATGTTACCCATCCAAGGATCACAGGTGGGGATCATCAGGCATTGATGATCACAGGTGGGGGCCCATCAGGCATTGCAGGTGGATCCTTAACCACTGAGTACCATCAGGGAAGTCCTGAGTAAGTGCTACTCTTCACTGTAGGCTCACAGCTGTGCTCACACCTAAGCATTCAGTACCTCACCTCATTACTTTAATTAGGGCTCCAGAGGCATGGATTTGAGGTCCTAGTCTGCCATTTCTTATTAAGGCTTCTCCGAGCCTCAGTTTCCCCATCTGCAGCATAAGGGGAAAAAATCACCACATAAGGGGTGGTGGGAAAGACATGACATGCTCCGCAAAGGTAAAGAGCAGAGGGAGAATCAGCTTCCGGTATCCAGGGTCATTCCTTAGCATCACTTAATTCATTCAACAATGGTTTCAGAACGACCACTGTGTTCCATGCAGGCCGTGTGGCGTGCACTGGGTCACACAGACAACTCAGACCAGTGACTGCCCTCAGAGAGCGTGCAATGTAGTGGGAGTGGGAGGTTGGGTATTGGAGAAGCTTCTAGAAGGAGGGAGTGATGTAACGCCGTCACACAACAGTGACCTTCCCTCAGGGAGACCTGCGGGCCTTGTCCCCTTCCCGCCTGCCCTGACAAGGCGTAGGGACCCGCATGGTATGGGCAGTCGAATAGCACCCCTCCAAGCCCCTCCAGGCCCCCTCCATCCCCACCCCACCCCCAAATAAGAGGCTACTACCTGAGGGGAATGTCCGCCCGCCTGGAATCTAGACAAGCTGATCCCCCTCCTCCAACCAGGCCAGAGAGCTCACGCCCTCCCCCACTTCCGCTTCCTCACTTCCGGCCGGTCACTTCCGGCCTTTCCTACGGCTGATGCCCACTGCTCCTAGGACTTAGAGGAAGGGAGACGCCTCGGGTTAAAATAATCCCTGCTTGTGGCTATCCAGCGGCATGAAGGCAGATGTCTTCCTTTCGTGATCACTTGGGCTGTGGCACTGCCTAATCCTTCAATGAAAGAATGAATTTTACAATCCGTGTTATTAGTCTAATTTTAACTGACTGGAAACGTGACCTGTAGGACAAAGAATGTAATTTCTAGTAGTAGGCTCTAGAGATGAAAAGTGATGGGAAATGACTGAGTGCTTCCAGTGAGGGCCTTGGGTACCACTGATGGCTAGTCACTGAAATATTCAACTGACTTTCACTGAGCACCTAAAGCAGCAAGGATTCAGATAGGATCGAGTTCGATTAAGTTGACAGGCTAGTGGAGGTGACAGGCACCATCACAGAAGATTGTGACAAGGTACGTATAGCATAATGAGAGAGGAGAGACCATCTGATTCTACCGAGGAGTAGTTGAGGGCAGGTTTCAGAGAAGAATTTATATGTGAACTGATTCTTAAAGGATGACAGGAGTTCACTGGATAGACAAAGAAGAGGAAGCCATTAGAGGCAAAGGACACATCATGTGTAAAGGCTTGAAAGCTGAGAGAGCCTATAATCTGGATAAAGCTGCAAGCTCTGGAGTTACGATGGCAGTCACAGACTATTAGTGAAACAGCAGAGGGGGGTGAAGTGGCAGAGGACAGTCAGATCATGAAGTGCCTTGTCTTTACTACCAAGTGGTTTTATCCAGTAGGCACTGGAAATGTAATCAAACCTATGTTTTAAAGAACCTTGGTGGCTGTGTGGAATACTGACTAGAATGGAAGAAAACACATGTAGAGAATAGGAAAATGCTTAGTAAATGAAAGTTACCTTTGCTTTTAGTCCCTACTGCTTCAATTATAATTACTATAATAACAGCCTACCTTGTTGATACTGGCATGTAGATAGGTAAGTATAATATAAAATGGTAGGAAATATGAAAGAAATTGGCGCATTATAAACAATTTAGCTGGCTATAATATAGAGTAATTAGAGCAGAAGGCAGAGGGAAATTGAAAAGATGGCCTGGAAATGGGTGGTTCAGGATCTTGAAGGCAATGATAAGGTGTTGGGCTTTATAAAGCAGTGAGAAATAAACCAAAAGTGCCTTTTTTTTTACATTGAGTTATAGTTTATGAAGATTTTCATATGCATATCTTATGTAAATTTTAAAGGAAGTCTGAAATGTAGGTGATATTATCCCACTTTATAGATAAGAATGCTAAGTTTGAGGAACATGGCATTCATTCTCCATTAGAGCCAGGCACTATGCTGAGCCATGGGAATACAAGAAAGTTACAGTCTAATAAGGGAAACAGGAATAAATCAGTAACTATGATAAATTACAATGATAAAGGCAAACATAGATTGTTCTGAGAGTCAAAAAGGAATTTGTCTAAACCACATGGTTAGGAAAGGCTTTCTGGAGGAGTTAAAACTGAGCTGAGTTTGCAGGAACAATTAAGTTATATGAATTGTCCAGAAATATTCAGCTAGCAAGGATTTAACTGGAACTTGAACCCAAATCTACACTTCTATGCTCTTTCCCCTATGCTGAGAATCAATCTTTTGTTCTTAATGTTGAGCTCCATTGACCTTCTCAGTCATGAGTTTAACTTTTGTATTTTGAGAAGGTCAGAGATCTCAATTTTTTCATTTTAAACCTATTCATTTTCTTCTTTCAGAACGAATCTCTGAGTGTGTGCAGAAAATTAGATTGGAAGCAGAACAGAGGGACTGGAGAAAGAACAGAATTTTATAGTAGTTCTGGCAATAAGTGATGAAAGTGCCTTCCCTGACAGTCCAGTGGTCAGAACTTCACCTTCTAATGCAGGGAGTGCAGGCTTGGTGCCTCGCTGGGGAGCTCAAGACCCTAAAACTTAAACATAAAAATGGAAGCAATATTGTAACAAATTCAATAAAGATTTTAAAAATGGTTCACATAAAAAAAGTCTTAAAACATAAAATGATGAAAGTCATAACCAAAGCAAAGCCATGGGCATGGCACGTATTCCACTCCACTCATTCTCCTTTGACACACAGACATTTGTGTATGAGATTAAAGCATAGAAGCTGTTGGACTTGGCTCCAGATATATCTGGGAGTCTACAGTGACACTCAAGTTTCTTTTTGGGGTGACTCTGTGAATGGTGGTTGCTAGTTTCACTAAGATAGGAACCCAGTCTGAGGAGCAGATTTGGCAGGAAATGTGATAAATTCTATTTTGGACATTTTGAATGTGAGGTGAGGTGTCTGGTGTGACCAGGTGAAGATGCCCAAGAGACAGTTGAGCAGAAAAAATTGGAACAAAGGTATAGGGTTCTGGGCAGGGCTCATGAACTTGAGAGTATTCAATACATACATAGGTGGTGATTGAATAGGCACATGGAAACAAGAGAATGGCGCAAACTCAAAGACGGCTGTCCCATTGCAGGTGGAGAAGCTGGTAGCAGTCCCTGAGTGGATCAGACCAGCAAAAGGCTCACATGCTACCCTCTATNAACTCAGAGTTTTATAAAAGTGAACAAAACTTTCTTCACTTGGCTTCCAAGACATTACTACTCCTTCTCGTCTCCTTGGCTGGTTTCCTTTCATTTCTCTGACGTCTCAACTTTGGAGGGGTCTGTTCTCTGTCTGTATTCATTTCTGGGACGGTTTTATCCAGTCTCATGGTTTTCAACACCCTTCTCTCTCTCAACAACTGTCAAGATTTCATCATCACCCCTAACCTGTGTCAACCTCCAGACTCAGTTGCCTAACTCCCTTGACACCCTCACTGGCATGTCTCACAGACATCTCAAATTTAATACATCTAAAAGCAAACGCCTCATCTGGTCTTCCAGACCTTCTCACCCACAGTCTCTCCTGTCTCAGTGAATGACACGTCCTTGCTTCTAGTTTCTCAGGCCACGAACCTTGGGATCACTGCTGACGCCTCTCTTTGTCTCTCATACAGCCTGTGATATCCATGAGTACACCTGTGACACAGAGTGGCTACTGATTCTGGGTTATGTGTGCTCCATAGGTAATAAATGGTTTATCAATGCCATGTTCTAATACACAATAAAATAATCATGTTTATGATTCCAGACTTTTTGGTTACCCTGTATGTTAAGAACTCAACACTTCCCACCATCAGTCCTAAGTCACCATCATCTCTTGCCAGGATCACGGCAGCAGCCTCTTACCTGCTCGCTTGCTTTTTCTCTTGCTTTCTTACAATCTAATCTCAATACAATGATCAGAGTGAGCCTTGAAAAAGTTGAAAAACACAGTCCCTGGTGGCTCAGCTGTAAAGAATCCACCTGCAATGTGGGAGACCTGGCTTCGATCCCTGGGTTGGGAAGATCCCCTGGAGAAGGGAACGGCTGTCCACTCCAGTATTCTGGCCTGAAAAATCCATGAACTGTATAGTCTGTGGGGTTGCAAAGAGTGAGACACGACTGAGTGACTTTCACAGAGCATATCACTCCCCAGTTTAAAATCTTCCACTGACTCCCATCTCAAGAGTAAAATCCAAAGACCTTGTCATGGCCATTGAGGTCCTATGTATTCTGGTCCCTACTCCCCCTCTGACCTCCGTCTCAACCCTTTTCCACCTTCAGGCTTTGCTCCTGCTAGTCCAGATACCTGAAAAAGCTATTTCCCCAAAAAGCCACCAGGCCAGATCCCTAGCTTTGTTTTGGACATTGCTCAGATGTCTTTTGATCTCCTAATTAAATCCCAACCCCACTTCAGCCACACAGTCTATGACTCTTGCCCATTTTATAATCCTCTTTGGCAGTACCACCATCTGACACACGTATTATTTCTTCCTCTACCAAAATGTAAGATCCAGGAGATCAGGGACTATGTTTTGTTCTCTAATACATCCCAGCACCTGCAACAGACCTAACAAGGAGTAGGTGTACAAACGTTGTCTATTGAATGAATAAAAAGAGAATGTCTGAACCCACGCTATTGGATGAAGAGTACACATTGTACCATGAAGTTAAATTTAGCATAATTTTACATAAGAAGTTCTGATGCCAACAACAACCTCTCAAAAGGAACTGTTGAAAATTTTTAAATAAGTATGGTTTTAAACAAAATTTTCACCATGTTGGATAAGTTCAGATTTCATATATTCCTCAATCCTGCCGATTTTGCTGATACTATTCTGAGTGTCCCTTGATGGTGAGGACCAAGTTGCTGACAGTCTCACATGAGAGTTTTTATTCTTAGGTTCTGCCTTTGCACTAGTTCAATTACAGAGCTGCTAGGAAATTAACCACTAAAGGAGCCTTGCTTCCCGCCCTATATGCTCTGTACCATGTCTGCTGATCATTCCTTACCACTGAAAGAACTTCTCTGTGAGATTTTCCTGTTCTGCACTCTGCCCCATTCTTGGAGAAGTGGTTGTGTTCTGCTCCCTGGGGGCGGCGTCCCGAGGAAAAGAGCTACGATTTAGGGCGAGTGCTGAGAACACCATGAGGCTTCCTGTACAGCTCGAGTCAACAGTCTGCTTTCTTCCCAACTCAAAGCCACTGGCTTGGGGCGAGAGCTGTGGCCAGAGAACTCCAGTGTTTGTAAACCAACGATGAGGTCATCAGGCATAACGATGGTTCCCACCAAGAAGGCCCTTAGACCCTGGAGACTGAAGAACCCTGAGGTCCACATGGAGATGTGGTTGTTTTAAAATTGGGCACACGTTGTTATCTTGAAAATTCTGTCTTTGTAGCATGTGGAAGTAGTGGGGACCCTATTCAGAGGCAACTTGAATTCAAGAACATTTGACAGACTTGCATGAATAAAAGGAAAGCTCTCTATTACAGACTTAAGAGGAACAAATTACTTCCTTTAAGTCATCTGACCAAACATTTGCTTAGCCCCTACTATGACCAAGTACTCAGATTCTTCTTTTCTATTTCAATAAAATTGTTGAGTGATCGTAACCAACATTTCCACCCTCCCCAAAAAACATAAATCTTGAGCAAGGTTTAGGTATAAAGGGGCAAAGAGATAGAAAAGGATACCATTCTACAATGTAGAATAAGTTTAAATTCGAGATCCCCAAGTTGTCTTATCTGATGAATGCTGGAACATCTTGTCAGCCAATATTCCCATCTTTATCTTGGGTCTGGTCCCCTGACTCTGAACAGTGCCATTTAGCAAGTCGCAATATCTCTAATTTTGTGCAAAAGATGCAACATTGGCAATCCGTTTTCTAGCAAAAGCAAAGACAGAGGAAGAGGCCTTAGCAAGTTACACTTGGTCTGGGAGGAAGGAGTTTAAGGAGGAGCGTGAGATACAAATCTGAAGGTAAGAACTAAGGAAGTTGAAGGTGACAAAAATGTTAGGTCAATGAAAAAAGTCTTCAAATCCCAGAAATATTTTAGTCCAGCCTATTCAGGAGAAAATTAAATTCCCCAAATCTAAGTAACCAGCCCCAGCTCGCACTTGGTTATGGCAAAGCTGGGGTTGGAACTCATCTTGGCTTTGAGTTTTTCTTCCTTCTTTTGTTGGGGTAGTATTAGGGGCTAAGGGGATTATTATGGGTTGAGTACACTAAAGACGCTTTTTTTTTTTTCTGAGATTTGAATAAGGTGAGTGATCCAGGATGCTGTCAAGTAAGTTCCCCTAAGAAGTCCTAGTGTTCCTCCAGATGCTTGTACCTACTCGGAGAAAGTGCATTTTCCTTAAGACCAGCAGTAACTTGCCAATGGGCCATCTCTGGGATTAAAACTTTTCTTATGTGAACATAATCGTTCTGGGCAAACTTGTTAAAACTGAAACCAAGCATAAAGAAGCAAAAGTGTTTCAGTGAACCTCCTGCATTTTAGTTCAACTCCGGCAGCAAGAAAACAAAACCACATAATCTAAGGCTCACGCCCAACTCTCTGAAGCCCCGTATCTGCTAGTTCCTGTGTGGTTTGCATACAGACTGCTGGGCTGACTGGGGGTAGTTTGGAGGAGGGAGTAAGAAGTCCGGGAGGAGGAGGCACTCAATGGATCTGCGAGCCTGTGCCCTGGTTTAGTGCGATACGTGGACGACAGCCCAAGGTGGATCCGGACTCTGAAATGCAGTCATTTTGACAACGGAATTTAGCTTCCTTCTTCCAAGAGAGGATTCTGACCATTCGGTGTGAAGCCATAGACTAAACCTCTTCTCTTCTGAAAGGTATGTCTTTATGCAACATCTGTCTACACGCTCTAGAGGGCTCAGATTTTTATTATTTGCAGAATGTTCTCTTGGAGTCAATCTAATTAAAATGAATCCCCTGGGCTCTGTAAACATTGGTTTTAATTTTCGGTTCATCAGCTAAGGTCTCTAAATCTTTTTCTGTAACAGTGTTTGTAGTGATAGGATTCAACTTCCAGTGAATGAATTAGAAGACTTGCTCCTTTCAACCAGTGTTATCCAAGAAGGCTCCACTAATTGGCTTCTGAGCCATCTCAGGGAAAGACTCTGGACCTGGGATTACAGGGGTGGAATTCCCCTTCACCAGTGTCAGCATTTGTTCCGAATTGGCGTGGGTGTGGGAGGTGAAGGGCAGAGTAGCGATGAATGAACACTAGTACTGCATGGTCAGGATTTGTTCTTGGGGCTTCATTTCTACTTCTGTTAGTGTTTATGTTGCCTTTACAAAGAACCCCACATTGAGTTCCTTTACAAAAAAGAAAATTTTACTTTGAAATGAGATTTGAGAGAGTGTTGTCTATATTTATCCCTTTATTAACAGTTTACACTGTGTCCCTAAGACCATCTTCAGTTCAGGCATAAAATCTGAACACAACTCTTTGACACCCTACTCTTTGAACCTGAGGATTGAATATACCCACCAAAGATTAATCCAATTTAAAAATATCATGTTTACGTATCTGGAATTAGGCCTTGTTAATAAAGTACATATAACTTCATCTGTACGTTACTGAAAGTATACATCCCCAGATGAATTAAGAGAAGGGGAAAATGTTTAGGATTAAAACTCCAATAGAAAAGATTACATGTGCTCATGTTCTGTCATCTGAGGGTGGGAAACCTCAGGTTGAAAAATGTTTCATTATCTACAACTGCATTTATCATAGATTTATTAGTTTTTCAGTGGGTCCTCTTTTCTTTTCTCTTCTTTTTCTCTTATTTTAGTTTCAGAAAGGACTGAGTATAAGCGTACTCTGCTTTAACAACCCAGTATTGTTTATAAAACTTCACTTTTATAAAATAATTTTAAAATGATCCTCTTTACAAAAGGATCCATTCTTAAATGAACACTAATAAAATTGAGAACCATCTAAGTGTATTTAAATTTCAAATTTTAAAAATTTTGATTTGTACCCTTTTGGAAAACTTGGAGTGGTTTTTTTGGTAGAGGGAGACAGTCCTATATCATTGAATAAAACTATCTTTTTAGATTGAACTTAGAGGGTCTCCCATGTAGTAAACTGTAATCTGATTCTCCCATTATAATAGATTTTATTTTTTTAAAATGACTTTACTGAAGCAGAGGGGAAGGAGGTGATCAATTTGTTCAAAATAAAGAAGTATCTCTATTGCTAATATAATATTCTTTTGAATATCTTTCATATCTTAGGCCCTAATGAAAATCTTCTTTTTTAAAAATTTCAATTGTTCTACATCTATTTCTCAGGGATATTGTAAGAATAAATGAGTTAACATAGATATGAAATGGCTTAGGAAAAAGGTGCTGTGAAAACACAAGGTGATATCAGTATTAATTGTTTCTTTGAATCTTGATCATTTCTTTCCCACCTTTTTTACAAAATATATTTGACTTGCTGCCTGAAGCCGTCTCTTTTATGTCTTTGCCTTCTGGAGGGGCTGAAAACGAGCCTACTTCTCACCTGTTTATTGATTCTCAGAGAATAACACCTGTAGGTGTTGGTGACTTGCAGGGTTCATGCCTGAAACAGAGCTTGCTTCTTTTCCTGACTCGGGAGAAGTCTACAACCACTCCAGTATTCTTGCCTGGAGAATCCCGTGGACAGAGGAGCCTGACTGGCCGTGGTCCATGGGGTTGCAGAGAGTTGGACACGACTGAAGTGACTGAGCACACACGCATTCAAAAAAGTGTCATTATGTGTGATTCCATCAGGATTTCTTAAACAAGATATAGCTGATGCTTGATTAGTCTGAGGAACAGAGGCTTCATTTTCGTGCAGCCATGAAATTCAAAACTTGGTGAAGAATCTTTATGGCCTAAGTTATTTGAATCGAAAGATGAGACTGACAGGCCCTCCTATTTGTCCATCTCAAGTACTTACTCAGCATATCTTGATCTATAAAGGAACAGCACAACCTCCTGTGCGTGCGCCTTTTTTTTTTTTACCTCTTTACAGTTTCTTAGGAAAATGTAGCCTCATTTAACAAATGAATGTTTATTAACACATTGCACATTGAGTATGTGTCAGGCACTGAGTTCTCTTCAACAATGTTAACATTACATTAGGTTTCAATAAGCTTGAACCAATGAGCCAATAGGAATTCAGTAAGTAATTTTTAGAAGACAGATTAAAAAAGTAAATTCATTCACAGCAAACATTTTGGAGAATTAAAAGAAACTATTACTAAGTACGTGAAGATTAAAGTCTTAAATTGCCCTCCAAAGAAGATGTAAGACCTATATCTTATGAACAAAGTGAAGAAAATGTCTAAACATAAAAGTTGAAATATTTGTACAGTGAATACCTCTATACTCACCTCCTAGATTCAACAGTTGCTAACTTTTTGACACATTTGTTCCACCTCTATGTATTTCTTTCTAACTACTTGTAAGTTACAGACAAAATGATATTTCACCCCTAGATAATTCAGTACACATCAAAGAATAAGAACATTCTCCTACGTAACTGCAATGCCATCATTATAACTAAGAAGATGAACAGTAATTCATTAATATCTAATATCTAGACCATATCTATCCTTAACCATTTGTCCCCCAAATGTCTTCCATACCTTAAAAAAACTAAGATCTAATTTTTTAAAAGAAAAATATGTTTTTTACATGAAAGCTTTATATCTTTTATTCAACACTGGAGTTTTTGAAAAGGTTAGGTGTTGTCTTGTTAAATGTTCTAATTTGTTTTGGCCTAGTGGTGTCATTTAATTTGTTCCTCTATCCTCAGTATTTCCCATAAACTCCAGATTAGAAATAAAGCATTGATTACATTTCAATTGAACGCATTTTACAAGGTGCTCCATATTGTATCTCAACAGGAGACACTTAGTTCCACGTTGTCCCTCTATTTGTGACACTCGGTTTGATCGGGGCTCAAGGTAGTGATCTCAGTTCCGGGATCCCTTTGCAATTAACAAGTAGTCTGGCAAGATAATGCTTGGGCTTTGTGATGATATCCTGTTTCCCAACAAACCTCACTCAATGGCCTTAGGTGATCCTTTCTTAAATCAACTGTTTGTTTGGGGGTCATATACATTTTCAGTATACTTTGAAGAAGGATTAGACATACACATTCATTATTATCAGCAGCCACAGCAGATATTTGAGTGTTTTTTTTTTAAGTTCAGGTAATTAACAGCCATGATGATGATGATAGTAATAAGTAACATTTACTGAGTGCTTGCTGTAGGGCCAGGTGGTCTAGGTTTGGGGGCCAGTCCTTCATTTACTAACTAGGCCAACTGGGACAAGATACTTAGTCTTTCTATGTCTTAGTTTCTTTAGCTATAAAATGAGAGTGATAATGGTAGCTATCTCATCATACCGTTTTGAAAGTTAAGCAATTTATACACATAAAGTTTCTGAAACAGTGTCTGTTATTGCTCTTTGCCAAGAGCACTGTACAGGTGTTAACTCATTTTGCTTCTCCTAAGGGCACAGTGAAGCCAGGGCTAATATTACCCTTCTTTTGTAAGTGAGGAAACTGGGGTGCAGAGAGTTTAGGTCACTTGCACAAGGTCACTTAACTAGTATGTGGTAGAGCCTTGATTTGAACCCAGGTGGTCTGGTTCCAGAGCATTCTCTCCAAAGGCTCCTGACACATGGAATGAGAAGGAACAGAAATGGAACTGAACTAAAAGCAGTTACAGCCTACCCCCACCCTAGCATCCTATCACCACCCAAGTTTTAAGTTCTTCTGAGTTATTCAAACCTGAGACTGTTGCTACCGAAATATATTTTAGGTTTTGTTCATCTGATAATAGCACTCTAGTAAGCGTAGGTGAGTATGCTTGTTGCAACTCTATAGCTTCAGGCTCTGTGTAAGAAAGTCTACATGTAAGAGATAATGTTAAGACTGGAAAATGTAGAACTATTCAATATAAAGTAAGAGGAAGGAAAAAAACTGAAAGGAATAATACAAGAGGGGAGTTATGAGACCTCAGAGTCTTGGGGCAGAAGATGATATTTTGATACAGTCAAAGGGAGAAAATGCCTCTCGTTTTTCACATTACCGTACTGTGTAAAATGTTACCACTAAAACACAAGAGCATAGCCATTGTCAGATTAATAAAAGACCACATTGGATTTCTTTATGGGATAATGGATGAGTCTTGATAGTAGGTAACTTCTCTGGTTGGTTATCTCGGTCACTCAGACATTCCATAAGTCAGTCTGTGTCTTTGGAAATACATAACTGTGCACAGAAAAGGCCTCACAAGCCAAGTATTGGTCCCTACCCCTTCATTAGCATTAAAAAAGGATTCCAGTGCTGTCTTATTCACTGCTGCTATTGCTGCCACAGAAAGCTCTCAAGTGTGATTTTCTAAAGAGAACTAAAAATAAATGAGAAAAAAAAAATCCAACATTAATAATGTTTTTACGCATTTCCAACAGAGGCATTGCTCAATTGGCCCTGCCTTTTTATGTTTTTTAATGAAAAGCAGGCTAATTGATCAACTGGTCATGAATAATACTTTTTCATTTGTTTTTCTCCACACCTCTCAGCCTTCCAGAACCACAGACTTAGTGTGGCCGCCTACAAATGGTTTACGATTTGTGTCTATTGTCTAGTGCTTTATGGGAAGATACTGGAAACAAACTGCTGGAAACTCAGTAGGAACTCAGTAAATAATAAGTAGATAGTTCTCTTGCTAAATATGATTTTAAAGAAAAATATTTTTAAATAACTAGGACGTTCTACTAAGGAAGTACACTGGTAGAAAAAAAAATCTGGTTGATTTATCATTTGAATAATCATCTTCAT